GCTGCTTTGACTGCTGAGGAACTAGCTGCTTTAGTGACTTTGCTTAGAGAGTATAGGCATGCCTTGGGTTACACATTGGATGATATTAGAGGCATTAGTCCATCTCTTTGTATGCATCGCATTCACTTAGAGGATAGTTCCAAGACCTCCATAGAGCATCAACGTAGGTTGAATCCGACCATGAAGGAGAGGAGCCATCAACTTCTCCAAGTCATCAAGCCTCGGTCTCCTCCATTCAAGTCAAGCAGCCCGATGTGGAAACGAGCGGGAAGAAGGATTGGGATCCAGAGAGCGCGCCTAAGGTGGAATTGAAGCCCTTACCACAAGGGCTTAGGTATGAATTTCTCGGACCTAACTCTACTTACCCGATCATTGTGAATGCTGCTTTGATTGCTGAGGAACTAGCTGCTTTAGTGACTTTGCTTAGAGAGTATAGACATGCCCTGGGTTACACATTGGATGATATTAGAGGCATTAGTCCATCTCTTTGTATGCATCGCATTCACTTAGAGGATAGTTCCAAGACCTCCATAGAGCATCAACGTAGGTTGAATCCGACCATGAAGGAGGTAGTGAAGAAGGAAGTGCTTAAGTTGTTAGATGCGGGTATCATCTACCCGATTTCGGATAGCGCATGGGTTAGTCCCGTGCAAGTTGTGCCAAAGAAGGGGGGTATCACTGTGGTAGAGAATGATAACGAATTGATACCCACTAGGACGGTTACGGGTTGGAGAATGTGTATTGATTATAGGAAGCTGAATTCCAACACCCGTAAAGACCATTTCCCGTTACCCTTCATCGATCAAATGCTAGAGAGGTTAGCCTTGCATTCCCATTTTTGCTTTCTTGATGGCTACTCGGGATTCTTCCAAATCCCCATTCACCCTAGCGACCAGGAGAAAACCACCTTTACATGCCCATATGGTACCTTCGCATATCGTAGGATGCCTTTTGGTTTATGTAATGCACCGGCAACATTTCAGAGATGCATGACTGCTGTGTTTTCTGATCTCATCGAGGATGTTATGGAGGTGTTCATGGATGATTTTTCGAGGTCTTCGATGCTCCAAAATGACCAGCATAGTCCGAAGAATGACAATGATGGATCACACTCCGGACTTCCTCCTCGGGCACACATCTTCTAAAGAGGCCGTCCTTGCCTCTCTTGAAGAGATAAGGTTCTTCCCAAAAATAATCCTTGATGTCGTTGAAGAACCTCTTCTTCCCGTTGTAATCCAGCTCGTGAGGAATGTACCCGCTAACAATGAGGTCAGCCACTCCGTTCTCCGTACCCTTCCTATCTCTGATCTCCAAGTCAAACTCTTGCAGCAAGAGAATCCATCTGATCAACCTCGGCTTGGCGTCCTTCTTGGATAGGAGATATCTCAAGGCAGCATGGTCGGTGTACACAACCACCTTCGACCCGACCAAGTAAGATCGAAACTTCTCAAAGGCAAAGACAATGGCGAGTAACTCCTTCTCAGTGGTGGAGTAATTGGCTTTTGGATCATCCCAAAAGCCAATTACTCCACCACTGAGAAGGAGTTACTCGCCATTGTCTTTGCCTTTGAGAAGTTTCGATCTTACTTGGTCGGGTCGAAGGTGGTTGTGTACACCGACCATGCTGCCTTGAGATATCTCCTATCCAAGAAGGACGCCAAGCCGAGGTTGATCAGATGGATTCTCTTGCTGCAAGAGTTTGACTTGGAGATCAGAGATAGGAAGGGTACGGAGAACGGAGTGGCTGACCATTTATCTCGGATTGAGCGACATGAGGAAGTTCCTATCGATGATTGTCTCCGAGATGATTGTGTGATGGCTGTCCAGGTGAAGGAGAGAGACCCGTGGTATGCTGATTACGTGAACTTCATTGTTAGCGGGTACATTCCTCACGAGCTGGATTACAACGGGAAGAAGAGGTTCTTCAGAGACATCAAAG